CGGCAGCCGTGAAAGGCAGCAAGGGCGAGTCCCAGACACGCCCATCACGGGCTCCCTTTGCCTGCTCGCAACGGACAGCTCGTGCATCCAGTACGGCGACTACGTGGCCATCAGGAGTGATACCCTCCCCACGCGCCAGGTGGTTCAGCACTGCGGACGGCACCGAGGCCCTATCGACGCAGCCCCTGGATGGAGCGGTATTCGGACCCGTCCTCAATGTCTTGGCCCGCGAACAAGACGGGCGGACTCAGTTCATCCAGATCGGCAGCGAGTGGCTGGAAGTTTGGGGCATCGGGGACAGGACGCTGCGCGTGAACGTCCTCCGCGGAGACGCAGCGCTCCGGGCAGCGACCTTTCTGGACGGCACCCGCAGCAAGGTACATGGAACGCAGACACCAGCAATCCGCGACAGTCCCATGCTCGGCGTCGACACCGGGGGAGACACTGCGACGTCCTCAGGGGGAATGCAAACCGGACCCGAACTCGAGCCCGACTCGCCGCAGGCAAACGCGCAGAACCCCACCGTCGAACAAGAAGGAGGACCCCGACTAGGGCAACGACGACCAGGCACAAGAGCGGAAGCTGAGTCTCGCTGAGGCCCTAAGCGCAGTCCATCCAGTCTCCTCATCCTCGTCCTCAGACTCCGACGCAGGCGAAGAACACCAAGCCAAGAGCGACGCACCAGTCCCAAACACGAATCAGGCAGTACCGACCAGAGGGGTGCCGCCGCACCCGCCGAGCCGATCGCGCTTCGAGAGGCTCGCGCGCCCCCCAGCTGGACATCGCGCCTCGCCGACGACCAGAAGCTGCACAAGCGGAACCGGCCCAAAGGCCCGGATGACCCACGACCTGCACTCAACCCCCTCCCTGCGCACCATTCCGAGCGCTGGCGCAGCAGGGTGCGGGGGCCAGTCGCCTGGGAGTCGCGCGCGGCGGCGGTGAGGCACGAGTCCAGAGTGGCCGACCGGACCCGCATAGGGGAGCACGGCCGAGACCGCGACCGCGACCGCAACCAGGGCGCGGCGGGGGCACCTTGGCGCAAACACGACGACAGGGACTGGGACGGACCCAGGGAGCGCTACTGGGACCAGAGCCAGGATAGTGGCAGGGGCTCAGCGAGCGCACCCTGGCGCCAGCCAGAATCGCGCAGCTCTTCCCACAAGGGCGATCGACGCCATGCCGACATCAATCAGGCGCGGGCAGCCGTCCGCGTTGGCCGGCAGCGCCACCCACGCGAGACAGCAGCCACACACCTGAAGAGGCTGCAGGCGGAAGGGGGATGCGACTTCAACACAGCCTGGTATTCGCGGTGCAGGCACATGTGCAAAGAGCAGGGCACAGGCAAATCCAAAGACCAGGCCCCTTTTCGACCCGGGCCGCCGGCAGCATTGGATCATCGATAACTAAGTTCTTGGACGACATGAACGCCAGCACCCATCGCGTGGATGCGTGGTCCCGCAGCGCAGGCGTATACGTGGACTCGGACCGAGAGCAGAGTCTTTACCAGGAAGTGCAAAGGAAAAGGGAGGTCGCCAAGGGCGACGGGCGCGAAGGGGACCAGGCGCGCAGCTCCGGTTACCATGACACATGGACTGGAAAGCGCCCGCGGCGCTGACCAGCCGCCGACCTGACCCCTGCGCCCCACGGCAGCGCGACACAACCGTCCCCGCACCCCCACCCTGCACCCAATTGCCGTTGGGGCCCGCACGTTTCCTGGGCTCCGATTGCTTGCCGCTCCACCTGGTTCCCGTCTTTCCTCCCCTTCCCCCCCCCCTTCTCCTGTCTTCAAAGGATATGGGACTTTTTGCCCCACCTGCACCCATCGGGGGCCGTTCCCCCTGTGAGCACCTGCGACGTGGACTGAAGCGACGACTACTGCAGCTGTCCACCCTGTCTTCACCTGCTATGGGACCTTGTGTCCTAGCTACCTGTGCCCCGTGGGGCCTTGTCCCCCACGCCAGCACAAACGGTGCGGGCTGATGCGACTACGGCTGGCGTGGGATGCCGGCCTCTCTCCTCCTTGTTCGCTTCTTCCTCTCCCCCTCCTGCACGCTTCCCCCCCTCCCATGGCGGCTGCGCCCGGCACTGCGCGGCTTAGGCCAGGTGCGGGGTGCTGCACCTTGCCGCCTCGGCGGCCCCGCCTGCCATGGCGCTGCGCGGCTTAGGCCCGGCCCTTGGCTTCGCGGCCGGCGGCGCATGCGCGTCCTGTTCGGCACCGCCTGTATTCCGGGCTTCGCCCTGCGTCGCATTTTGTTGCCCGCCGTCTTCGGGCTGACGCAGAGAGATTTTCTCCTCGCAGCACACCCGCTCCCAGTCGGTCTTGGGCGGCCAGCTCTTTGGAGGCCGCACCTCCAGCACTGCGCCCGGTCGTGGACTAGCACCTGCACCGTGCTTTCCCTGCACCAGCTGGTGGCACAACGTTGCTCATCGCCTACGCGGTGCCCCCCCTCTCCCTGGACGCCGACCTGGTCATTTGGCGCGTCTCCCTCGCAGTACTTGAGGATGGTGTTCACGATGCGCCGCCGACGGCAACACCGCTCTTCCGCCTATCGGGACTTCGCCTTCGGTTCGTGTACAAGGCGTTCATTGCCCTGCACGCCCAGTACGGCACCGCCTGTACCCCTAGCTTCGCCCGCTCTCGGCCGCCTGAGGCCCCGCCTCCCCGCGCCCTGTCTCCTCAATCAGCGTTATGCGCAGCCCGCTTAGTCTTTACCGGTAGAGGTTCGCTCTCGGCCCGCAAATAAAAAACATGTGGGGGGGTGCGCGTGCGTGGTGGTAGCAGTCATGATGTTTTTGATGACGGTGTTGGCGATAGTGATGAAAACGATGGTGATGGCCATGGCGTGATGATGAATGATTGAATGATGAGTGAACATAGGTGGTTGAGTGAGTGTGGATAATGATGATGAAGATGAAGATGATGATGCTGATGATGATTATGATGATGATGATGATGATGATGATGATGATGATGATGATGATGATGATGATGATGGCCATGCCGATGAGTGTGTGAGGGTGTGAGGGTGTGAGGGTGTGGAGTGAGTGAGTACATGAGAACGTGAGTGTGTGAGCGCGGAAGGTAGGGGGGAGGAGGAGGAGGAGGAGAGTTTGCGCGGGGGGGGTGCTGAGAAAACAAGAAGCCCACTTTGGATGTGGGAAATTACCCAAGCGAAGGACTCAACCATATGTTGTGGTGACTCCTTCGTTGTGGCACCGCTGTCGGTGAAGATCCCATAGGTTCACGAACCGTGTGAGGGGCCCGTCAGAATGGGACGCCGGCGCCACGCGAACTTTGCCACTGGGGCCTTCGGTGGAGATCCCTCTGGGGACACGAAATATGTGAGGGTTGTGCTGGAAATGGGGCGGCGTTTCCATGCGAACATTGCCACTGGGCCCTTCGATGGAGCGTCTTATGGGGCCACGTACAGTGTACGTAAGGGGTGCGCCAAAATTGGGCGGCGGCGCCATGCGAACCTTGCCACTGGATCCTTCAGTAGAGCTCCCTATGGGGCCAAGAGCCATGTGAGGGGTGTGCCGAAAATGGGGCTGCGGCGCCATACGAACCCTGCCACTGGGGCCTTCGGTGGAACGACCTTTGGGGCCACGAACCGTGTGAGGGGTGCGCCAAAATGGGGCGGCGGCGCCGCCATGCGAACTCTGGCATTGGGGCCGTCGGTAGAGCCCCCTTTGGGGCCACGAACCGGTGGGGTTGTGCCAACATGGGGCGAGGCCGCCCTGCGAACCTTGCAACTGGGCCCTTCGGTAGCTCACTATGGGTCCACGAAGCAGGCGAGGGGTCTGCCGAAATGGGGCGGGGCGCCTTCGGTGGAGCTCTGTGTGGAGGCACAAAACGTGCGATGGGTCTGCCGAAATGGGGCGGGGTCGCATGCGAAGTTTGCCACTGGGGCCTTCGGTGGAGCTCCGTTTGGGGCCACGACAGGTGTGAGGGGTGTGCTGAAATGGGACGGCGCCGCCATGTGTACCCTGCCGCTGGGGCCTTCGGTGGAGCTTCCCACGTGGCTACGGAACGTGTGAGGGGTGTGCTACAAATGGGGCGGGGCCGCATGCGGACGCAGCCACTGGGGCCTTCGGTGGAGCTCCCGATGAGGCCACCAAATATGTGAGGGGTGTGCCGACATGCGAAGATGGAAGAGGATGATGATGAGGAAGTGGAGGGAGGAGGGGGGGAGGAGAGGAAAGGAGAGGAGGAGATGCGTAGCGCTGCGGAGTCGAAACCAGGACCCAACACACAGGAGGATTGGGAAAAACTGACCCCAATAATCCACTAGCTCTTTTTTCGGGGGTGGGGACAAAAAGTTGCCAGTGGTTATGGGAGATCAGTTTTTTGTTCCTGGGACGTTTCCCCCCAGGGCCCGACCCCTCCCCGCCTGGGCCATACAAGCAATCAGTTTGCACTGTCTCCCTCCGCAGGAAATCGATGTGTAACTCTTCGCAACAATGAACAATACGCGGACGAAGCAACTGGTCACGGAGAGAGGAAGCGCAGGAGTGGAACGGAAATCGAGAGAGTGTTGTTTCTTTCCAAACCCTCTGAAGGACGATGGCGAAAGAGGGTAGAACAGCTGAAGAAAGGGGGCGGAGCGCGAGGCGGAGAGAAGGGGGGGAAGTATGAAATACTGAGTTTTGCAGGGGGGTCGAACCTGGGACCGGAATGTTATCAGATATCTCTCCCAAATGTTGCAAGTCAGGCACGTTGTCGTTTCACTCGATTCCCCCATACAATTCCCACCCTAGCCTACGTTTGTTGAGCTCGTCCCTCATATCACAATCAGGGTACCACGATATTGGTTGGTTTGGCGTCCTTCTTTCCTGGGGATTATTTCGCTACAGCCGTAACCTGTGACTGCTTAGCTCCATAATCAAAGGTCCGATTGAATTATCATTTGATTGAGTCCACGCACGCCGCTTTCCCGAATTCATTGTATCTCTACATTATGGGTTTCTCCGAAGTTTCCTTGCCACATGCGACCTCGCAGGTGGGGCAGGAGGTGTGCTTCGCTGGGCTGCAGGACGCTGCCTGCACCCTTGCGGTCCCCTTCTGTACCGTCAGTATCCATGAGAGCCGTGCCAGTGGCTTTCCTTATGGCCATGTGATGGCGATAATGGCGACTACGGCGATAGCATTGCTATCCCTGCTGTTGATGGCCACGGCATCGACGTCTCGATTGCAATCATTGCCACTGCTAGTAGAGAGGTTTGAAAACCAGTGGGGTGACCAGGATGACGATTGGTGTCAATCGCAAGAGGCGTAATGCCACCTCAGGGTTGAAGGGCCGGGAAGTGGATTAGGAGGGAGGCGCTGGATCGGGTGGGAAACAGGGGATATCATGACGTGCTTGTCCCAGATGTATAAGGAAAGGATGTCGGGTTTGCGCGCGGGTACCCATTGATTTCTTTGGTAGCCCAATTATGGCTATGCCGCTGGAGCTCGTTGAGCAGAGGGAGCATAGTGCCCGCCCAAGGCACCAGTCGGCGAGACTTGCAGATACGCAGTCGTCGAGGCACGTGTGTCCTCCACCAGACATGCACTGGACCGGGGGAGTCCTATCGGCCCATTCGTTAGTCGCAGTCATGGCCGCAGGTGGGCCATGCAACGTGCAAAGTAAGCCATCGATCTCATTCCCATGCCTGAGTGAGCAGTACGCTGTTCGTTCAGCGTACACTAGAACGGACAGCAGACTTCGGCCGCCTTAATGTTATTCGGCCTGTCCGCGGTCGCCCTCGCCGGCCAGCATGCAGCACGGGTGGGCACTGTGAGGACGGCAGGGAGTCTTGCGTGATTGAGCCGGAACGTGAGCGGGCAAGCATTGGATGTGCCATCCGTCTGCGTCAAGTTCAGCAGTGTTGCCCAAGTAGTTATGGAGACCTCACTGGGTCAAGCCGAGTTCAAGAGGTATTTCCGGAATGTCTTGAGATGGAGAACTACTTGACCGTCTTGAAGGCGGGCCCAAGACCATTCAGGGGTTCGCTAGAGGTCCTCTTGGAGCTTGCGGGGGCGTTGCAAAAGCCTCTCGGGGCTCTCAGAACCGACGCGGCGTCTTGCGGAGAATCGCACATCTCTTATCTCCTAGACCGATTCCAACACAGCGCGACATAGATGCCCATCCGAATTGATTTGTTTCTGCAGCGTGGAAGTTGTTGAAATGAAAAGGCCTGGCTTCAGTTGTCCGTCATATTCTGATGTGAGCGCTGACTTCGTCAGATGTGTTGATGTGTTAGATTTCCCCAGAACGCCCCAGAAGTGTTTCGATAGATGTGTTGATTCCTCTCGCTTTGCGGGGTGCATGTCTGGACCACGTACAGCCCAAGTCGTTGTAGGGACTCCTGAGAGCCTCTGGATGGCCTCCTGGAGGCTTCTTGAACAATTTTGGGGGCCTCTTTGGGGCGTCTTGGGCCTACTTGGGTTGCCCTTGCGCCGTCTGGCCCCTTCGGAAGCCGTCTCGGGGGCCTCTCGGGGCCGTCGTGGTGCTCTCTTGGGGTCGTCATGGGCCGTCTTGAGGGCCCCTTGGACCGCTTGTGGCATCTTGGGGTGCTCGTGGGCCGTGTTGAAGCCCTCTTGGACCGTATTGGGACCATCTTCAAGGTTGCTTGGACCGTCATGGGTCCCCGAGTGTCCAAGAATGCGACAACGCATTTCTCTTGTTCAAAACCGATTTTGAAAATTATCCTGGCGAGGGTCCCAACCACATGCAGTTGTGAGTAATGCAGTTGGGAGCGTCGTCTTCGGTGGAGCTCCCTAGGGGGGCACGAAACGTGCGATGGGTCTGACGAACTGGGTCGGGCGGACGCATGTGGACCATCCCACTGGGGCCGGAGAAGGAGGAGGAGGAGGAGGAGGGACAGGGGAGGAGGAGAAGGAAGAGGAAGAGGAGGAGGAGGAGGAGGAGGAGGAGGAGGAGGAGGAGGAGAAGGGAGACGCGCGGCGCTGAGGATTCAAAACGAGGACACAACACACAGGAGGTTTGGGAACAAAACGAGAATATGTAGAGAATGCAAGTTTTCCTGAGGAGCTGGGCCAATGTGTGCTTGTCGGGGTAGGGTCGTCCAAAAGCTTTCTAAAGACATCTTAATGGTTTCCACAGCTGTCATGAGACCACTGGGGCTTCCTGGAGCCGTCTGGGGCCACCCGGAGAACATGGCGAGGCAACTTGAAGGCTGCGGAAGCCGTGTCAAAGCCGTCGGAGCCTGTCTGGGAGCAGGGTCGGGGCCGCCGGCACTGTCGGCATTTTTGTCCCCCACCCCTCCCCCCTGCAAGCCGGCCCGGTCGACCTCCCGGGGAGTGTCAACAGTCTCACACGCCGAGTCACCCCAAGGCGTCCACGGATTTCGTTCAACTCCAGGACATCCATCGCATTTAGGGCGATGTCCGTCATCCGCTCAAAACCATCCACCTGGCTTGTCCAAGGCGGTGCCCAGATTTTTTGTTGGGGGGGGGTGAGCGTCTTCAGTCGTGGCGACGAGGGGCTTATCAAGTGACGATGAAGCAAGCACGCAGACAAGTACAGCAGCCGTTTTGTTTTAACACATGCGTCGAGTGTCGTCATTCAAATATGTTTGTTCTTGGTGCGTGCTGTCGGAGGCGACGGGAAGCCGTACACGAGCAGTGCGGTTTGATTTCCCCTTTTGAGCGCAGTATGGCAAGCCGAAAGCACGGGCTTCCAGAGCGCCGCGGCCACATCGCCTACGTGGATTCTGTCCGATTGCCGAGGGCCCAGTTTCCGAACAGGCGCCGTGGACGGACTGGTGGCGCCAACTAAGCTGCGACATGCGCCTTTGGCGAGAAGGGGCAGCCTGATGGCTCCCCGACGACTCTGTGGCTCGCGAAAGCGGCCGAGCTCTTCGAGGGCTGGGCAGGCAGTTGGGTAACATTTGCATGAGTGCAGCAGGGTGGTCCGCGTGGGAGGAGGGCACGGAGAGGGGGATTCTGAATTTGAGGACGCCCAGAGGGCTGGTAGGTGCATCTCCTGCGCAGATTTGATCAACGTGTAAGTTCATTCGCGCCACGCGTGCCCTCCAGGCAGGCCCACGTACAGGGTTGTCAGAGGCTGAGGGGGGGTTGGCGAAATACATCTTGAAAGTGTTCGAGTGGCCGCATTCCTCATTTCGGCTGAGCGCCATCTGAAGGGCCGATGTGAACGAGGCCATGTCACGATCACTAAAACTCGCATTTCTCGACAGACGGAACACTCCTGGGAAGGCGCGGCGAGTGACGATACGAATATTCCTTAGGCCACCCTGGGATGTGTTTACCGAAGGGTCCATTCCCACATTGCCAGTCAGATCTTGGGGCTAGATCGGTGGCCGAAGTTCCCCCATCCCTCCCCACCGAGTTGTTCGTTTTATCATGTGCCTTAGTAGACGATTCGGAAGCGGCGGGCTCAGTCATCGAATCTTGTTTCGGGTGTTGGCGCCTGTGCTAGGCGGTGCGCGAGGGCCCCAAGTCAGAACAGGTTCGACCACGGAGATGTGTGCGACTCCTTCAGCTATCGGTTCCCTCCCCGCCTGACCAGATGCGGGTCGAAGAGCTGGCCCAGGACGGCGCCAGGGAGGGGCGAGAGCGGGTGTGTTACCCCCGATGGGCCAGCGAACATGTCGGAGGGGGAGGGGGGAGGGGAAGGAGACTAGGGGGGGGAAGTAGAAGGAGTCCCAGAGTAAACCCAGGATCCATCAACGACGCTGCAGCACACCCTCCCGTCCACAGCCCCCTTCCTCACACGTCTCTAGAAGCCATCCGTTCCGCCCCCTTGAGAGACGAGCACCCGCTGGGCCTCCCATTGATGCGCGTGCCCCATTTTGAACAGGACCCTTGCGAGTCGTAGGGATCCGAAGATGCATGGCCATGAACTTAAACCAGGTGTCCAGCGAGAGCCCACGTTCGAAACTGAGCAGCCCCCATCCGAAGTGTTGTTTAGGGTCACGCGTCTGGTTTTTCCCCAAACAGTGCTTGCACTCAGGGATTAGTATTTCTGTTCTTCTGAGGAGCTGGACCTGGGTGTAGGTCTGGCGGCTCCGTGCTCGCCGTCGCCGCCCTGTCGCCGCCCCTCCTCTGGGCCTAGGTGTCGGTCTGGCGGCTCCGTGCTCGCCGCCCCGTCGCCGCCCGTCGTCTGGGCCTGAGTGTCGGTCTGGCGGCTCTGTGGTCGCCGTCGTTGCCCCGTTGCCGCCTAGATTGCTCCACATCTATTCGCCCTTCAGGAAAAATTCTACCACCCTCCCCCCCCCCGGGGTGAAGGACCCCCCCGGGAACCGATGCAAAACACATAGGATTCTGACCCAATGTCCATCCTACCTGCGAATTCATACTATCCCAGCCAGGCCGGTATCTGCGCCCCCCGCAATCCTCTGCAAACACTATTGGGCGAGCACATCCGTTTATCAAGAATCGTAAATTTTCAAAAATTCTTTGCAACAAATGTGACGAAGTGCACACGCGCGCGTCGTCGCGCGCGCGCATGCCGACATCCATCAAAAACCCTCGATTTCGGAAGGATGTCAAAATCGAGTGCCCAAAAACATATGAAATCAACAGGGTCTCGCAACAAGGATTTTCAAAACAAAAAACATGCGCGCTCTTGCGAATTCTTAAAAACACAATCGTTGTTTTCAATATGTTCAGAGCATGCTACCAAACGGGCTTCGCGCGCGCATGTCGAAATCGTTCGAACGCCCTTGCGCGCGTGCCATCGCGATAATCGTCTGCAACAAATAGGACGAGGTGCAGGCGCGCGCGTCGTCGCGCGCGCATGCCGAAATCCTTGAAACAAACCTCTGGTGTCAACAGGATTTCATCAGCGTCGAGTGCCCAAGCAACATGCAAAACATATATGGCTTCGCAACACAGATTTTCAAAAACAATCGTGCGCGCGCTCCTGCGAAGTTTTAAGACAAGCATGCGTTGTTTTTAACATGTGTATAACATGCTACCCAACGGTTTTCGCGCGCGCATGTCGAAATCGTTTGAACTCCCTTGCGCGCGTGCTGGGGTGGCACGATCCGTGTCAAATAATTCCATGCGGGCCACTCTCGCGCGTCTGCCGCGCGCATTTCGAATTCCTTCCAAAACCTTCATCACCGACGCGAAGACGCCGTCATCGTCGTCGGCGTGATCGGCATCGGCGCCGTCACTGGCCGTGCTGTCGTCGCTGTCAGCATCATCACCAACCTCGCCACTATCATCATCATCATCATCATCATCATCATCATCATCATCATCATCATCATCATCATCGCGTCTACACTTGTCGACGTTGTCATGATACCGCACCCGCCCAAGTCGCCGACTCGCACTCAAGTGACCCCCTGGATGCGCCGAGCGGTCAGCACCACCGCGGCCGCGTCGGTCGCGCCAAACTACCTGGCCGCTGCGCGCGCGCATGCGCGGGCTGGCGCGGCCGCAGAGACGCACCAGCCAGCGCCAAGCATTCATCGCAATCGCCGCCGCATGAGGTTTGCGGGAGCAGTGGAGTGGACAACGCAGTGCGAACAGAAATTAATTGCACCATACAGATTGCACCACATTGATTGCAACACCTGGGTTGCACACGCAGGTTGCACGACGCATATTTCCCCACACATATTGCAGCACGCCGGTTGCACCACATTTGTTGCGCACCACCTATATTGCACCACGTCGGTTACACCACATATATTGCCCGCGGCACAGATTGCACAACATGCGTTTTACCACACAGGCCGCACCACCTATAGTGCCCCACAAGCGTGGCACAGCATACATAGCACATCCTATACTGCACAACGTAGATTGCACCGCGTAGATTGCACCACCTTGATTGCCCCACTGATCCTGCACAGCATGCGCTGCTAGAAACAGGCTGTTTGCGGCCCGCGCTGGCTAACTTGTAATGTTGAGGGGATCTCACGCGAGAGCCCCATTTTGAACATGAGCTGCCCTCCATCCGTGCAGATGTTACATATGTTTGGGGCACTACGCCTTCTAGGCTGAGCAAGTCTCCAGCGAAAACGCCAGTTAACATCACCAACCGTCTACCCATGTGAGTGGCGCCCAGGCAAAAACTACATGTTGAAAACGAGCTGGCTTTCATCCTTGAAGTACTGCAGTTGTTTCGGGTGTAGCCCGAATTTGTTTCCCGCGGGGTGAACGGGACTGGATTGGACTGAAGTAAGCTGAACTGAGCTGAACTGAACTGAACTGACTGGTTGCACTCGTTACGCGACGGCCTGATTCTCGGCGGCAGAGTGCGAAACCTATGGCGCAGCCACTGGGAGACGGTTTTTCTCGGCTGTCGCGGGCGCGACCTGTGGCGCAACCGATCGGAGACGGTTTTCTTCTCGGCGGCCGAGGGCGCAATCTATGGCGCAATCGGTACGCGACGGTTTTATTATCGGCGGCCGAGGGCGCAACGTATGGCGCAACGGATAGGAAACGGTTCTACCCTCGGCGACCGAGGGCGCAATTTATGGCGCAACCGATAGGAAACGGTTTTATTCTCGGCCGCCGAGGGCGCAACTTATGGCGCAACCGATCGGAGACGGTTTTAATTTCGGCGGCCGATGGCGTAACCTACGGCGCAACCGAGAAGAACAGATTTTATTCTCGGCCGCAAAGGGCGCAACCTATGGCGCAGCCGATTAAAGACGGCTTAATTTTCGGCCCTAGAGGCGCAACCTATGGCGCAACCGGTAGGAAACGGTTTCCCGTGTGCGTGTGTGTGAAAACCGTTCCTATCACCTTTCTGTATATATATATATACATACATACATACACACATTGCTATCCTCTTGGCTCAGGTATTGGACATGTTGCGCGCCCCTGTTCACACGGGCGCATGGACAAAAGAGTTTGTTTCTTCATATCGTCCTCTACTTACGGACCGCACAGTAGGTTCGATTCATTGGTCGTCAATTCCCGTTCATAGGTTATCAACTCTTCCATAACGCTTTCCGTTGCGACACCCCGCGCCGCTGTTGAGCCCCGCGCATGGTGCTGGACCCCGCGGGGAACAGTGCCTCTATGCGCGGTGGCTGATCGACGGTGCGTTGGCGGCGCGACGACACGAAGACCGCAATCCCCCCTACCAGGAGAAAGCAGCGCCGCCGATTCGACTCGAAGTGGCGCGTCGACGGGCGCAACAGACAGACACAGACTCCTTCCAGCTTTCCGTGCCGGCGCAATCGTACACCCAGGGTGTGGACTCAGCGTACAATCGACTGTTCGGTCACTTGACGCCAACGTTCGTCGAGTCTTTCGTCGGTGGAAACACCCACGCCTTCCTCCTCCGATACCTTCGCCGGTGAGACACCCACGGTGGCGCGAACGAGCCGTCTCCACCGAGCGCTTCCGCGCGACACCGCCGTTGGGACACCAGAGGTCCTTGGAGCCCCGGTTCGGTTCCTGCGTGCGAACACTAGCGAGCCATCGAGAATCGTAGCGGAACGACCTCACAGCGAAGAGTCCCCGATCGGTATCATCTCCAGTCTCGGCATAGGGGCACCAGCCGCAACCCCTCACAGAGGCGTTCGCGGCAGAATTCCCTGCGGCGCGACATGCCGCCACACGCATCGACATCAGCGAACGAATTGGCATAGTTCAGAGACCAAGTTTGAACTTACACGACCCAGCAATTGTCGGGCCTTGCTGCCAAAGCCGCCGATCACGCGACACAAACAGCAAACTTAATCAAGTCGACCGTGTGGAGTCACACCTGGGAGCTGGTTCCACTGCCA